CTTTGCTTTTTGCTTCTCTTCTTTTCACAGCTATTTGTAAGGCCTCCTCAGACAGCCATTTTGCTTTTTTGCATTTCTTTTTCTTGGGGATGGTCTTGATATCTGTCTCCTGTTCAATGTCACAAACCTCCATCCATAGTTCATCAGGCACTCTGTCTATAAGATCTAGTCCCTTAAATCTATTTCTCACTTCTACTGTCTAATTGTAAGGGATTTGATTTAGGTCATACCTGAATGGTCTAGTGGTTTTCCCTACTTTCTTCAATTTAAGTCTGAATTTGGCAATAAGGAGTTCATGATCTGAGCCATAGTCAGCTCCTGGTCCTGTTTTTGCTGACTGTATAGAGATTCTCCATCTCTGGCTGTAAAGAATATAATCAATCTGATTTCGGTGTTGACCATCTGGTGATGTCCATGTGTAGAGTCTTCTCTTGTGTTGTTGGAAGGCGGTGTTTGCTATGACCAGTGCATTCTCTTGGCAAAACTCTATTAGCCTTTGCCCTGCTTCATCCCGTGCTCCAAGGCCAAATTTGCCTGTTACTCCAGGTGTTTCCTGACTTACTACTTTTGCATTCCAGTCCCCTATAATGAAAAGGACATCTTTTTTGGGTGTTAGTTCTAGAAGGTCTTGTAGGTCTTCATAGAACCATTCAGCTTTAGCCTCTTCAATGTTACTGGTTGGGGCGCAGACTTGGATTACTGTGACATTGAATGGTTTGCCTTGGAAACGAACAGAGATCTTTCTGTCATTTTTGAGATTGCATCCAAGTACTGCATTTCAGACTCTTGTTGACTATGACAGCTACTCCATTTCTTCTAAGGGATTCCTGCCCACAGTAGTAGATATATGGTCATCTGAGTTAAATTCACCCGTTTCAGTCCATTTTAGTTCACTGATTCCTAAAATGTCGACGTTCACTCTTACCATCTCCTGCTTGATGACTTCCAATTTGCCTTGATTCATGGACCTAACATTCCAGGTTCCTATGCAATATTGCTCTTTACAGCATTGGACCTTGCTTCTATCCCCAGTCACATCCACAACTGGGTGTTGTTTTTGCTTTGACTCCCTCCCTTCATTCTTTCTGGATTTATTTCCCCACCGATCTCCAGAAGCATACTGGGCACCTACCAACCTGGGGAGTTCATCTTTCAGTGTCCTATCTTTTTGCCTTTTCATACTGTTCATGGAGTTCTCAAGGCAAGAATACTGAAGTGGTTTGCCATTCCCTTCTCCAGTGGACCACATTTTGTCAGAACTCTCCACCATGACCCGTCCATCTTGGGTGGCCCTACATGGCATGGCTCATAGTTTCATTGCGTTAGACAATGCGATGGTCCATGTGATTAGATTGGTTGGTTTCCTGTGATTGTGGTTTTCAGTCTTGTCTGCTGTCTGATGGAGAAGGTTAAGAGGCTTATGGAAGCTCCCTGATGGGAGAGACTGACTGAGGGGGAAACTGGGTCTTGTTCTGATGGGCAGGGCCATCAGAGGTGTTCAGTCATAAACGTTAATTCCCTTTCTTTCTCTGAGAGACCTGCTACCTGTGAAACATACATGTGGATGTTTTCTGAGTCGTCTGTGAATGTGTGTGGGAGGATGCTGAGCACGTGCTGGCAGGTCCTGCCCCGTGGAAGGAAGGCGGAGCTCACTGACACCCATGCCCACAGGGAACCTCGGGGCTTGGTCCCTGGAGCTGTGCACCCACTGGTGGGGGCAGAGGGAGGGCGTGAGAGGAGGGCCACCTTCCAGAGCTCCGCGGGCCCAAATGCTCTGCAGTGCCCACAGATGACTTTCATGCTTCCGAAACATTTAATATGAAGATCCAACCGTTTAAGTGACATGTGAGCCCCAAAGCTGACGCTGGGTTACCTTGGAGACACTGACTGAAACTCTGCTCAAGGCAGCCAGGGACCTCCAGCTGAGAGGTCTGCGAGGAGCACCCTGGAAACGGTCGTCCACCAGCTCCACGATGACGGAGTAGCTAGAAAACACGGGAGGGGCGTTCCAGAAATGAAAAGCATGATGTCAACCCATTTATAAAGAATGCTATCCTACCAAGAATGACAATGCAGAAGACAGAAACATACATCGTCTGATCCTGAATTCCCCTAAACTACGCCTGGGAAAGATATTTTAATGAAAAACTCATACTTTACATTAGAAACAGTCAGCCTGATTTCAGCAATTACAGGAAAGGACCGGGAATCTCTCTCCCAATGTGAAAGCTGTGAATTCACTCACCTGTTTAGATACTAACACTCACTGATACGAAGATGAACAATGACTCTATATTAGTAACTACACAGATTAACTCAATGTTTACTGCTGAAACGTACATTATCATGACCTATTTGTTTTATAGCATAAGGGCATTAATGTACAAGGCACAGATATACAGTATCGACTCCTATTAGGCCAGGAGGAATCTGACTCCTATTAGGCCAGGAGGAATCATGTACCTTTGAAAATTAAACTGAAGCTCAGAAATTTCATCCCGTCCCTTTATGCCATTACCTTATTTAAAAATCATTCCATTAAATCAGGAGCTTGGGATGAACACACACCCACTGCTCTATATAAGACAGATAATGAACAAGGACCTACTGTATATCAAAGGGAATTCTACTCAATATTCTGTGATAACCTACATGAAAAAAGAATCTAAAAAGTAAAAAATATGTGTATGCATATCAATTGCTTTGCTGTACATCTGAAACCAACACGACATTGTTAATCAACTACATTCCAACCGAAAAAAAAAAAAAAAAGAATCACTCCAAACCTGGCATGGTAAAACGGAGGGCCTTTTCGATACAGCACTGCAAAGGAAAAGGAAAATGTATAACCACTCGAAATCAAACTCTAATTTTATTACTTAATAAAGTGCTTTCTATCCTCAAAGGAATACAAACAGCTGGTGCTCTGCATGTGGGTGATCTGCAGTACACCCTCTGGTCTAGTTTTAAAACCCAAGCTGTTTTTTCCCCTGGAACAGAATGCAATTAGCAAAGCAAATCTGTTGTCGAGACCCTAACGCCCTCATCCCACCTGCACCCCACAAATGAGACCCAAATTCAAGCAAGACAGGGCGTAGCCATCTGCCCACCAAACCCATCTGCTCCTTCTCCAGGCACGTGAGAGACCCGTCTCAGCCTCCTGAGCACCCAGCCGGGCGTGACTGGGCGTCATGGGCCCTTCGGGCTGGCCCTGAAGCCCTCGCAGACACCAACCCTGTGCCTGTCCCTTTCTGAAGCTGCCTGAAGCCCGTGGGGCCACATGGAGAAGCCAGGCTCCTGCAGCTCCTTTGGGAGTTGGTCCAACCACCATCCGAATACTGGGTTTGGATTTCACAGAACAGAATTAACTTCAAGAGTTCACTAAGCCCCTGAAATTTGTGGTTTGTATGCAACCAGGGCTGCAGGCGTTACCTTAACTAACACCGTTACGGGCTTCCCTGGTGCCTAGGACTTCCCTGGAGGCTAAGCTAGTAAACAATCCGCCTGCAATGCTGGAGACCTGGGTTCCATCCCTGGGTTCGATTCCCGGGTTAAGAAGATCCCCTGGAGAAGGGAAAGGCTACCCACTCCAGTATTCTGGCCTAGAGAATTCCATGGATTGTATAGTTCATGGGGTCGCAAAGAGTTGGACACAACTGAGTGACTTTCACAACACAGTTATATATGTGAGCTCTTGGGAAAACCAAGGCAGAAAAGCTTTGCTTCCTTGAGGAACTGGTAGAACTTTTCCTTCTGGGCCACACTGATCCTGTAGTTAATCACGTTTCCCTTTGGCTCTGGCACCAAGAGGTCAGAACCGGTGAAAGACCCCACCGATGATACAGCAACCCTTCACTTCTACTTCCCATGGTTGGGCTTCCTTCTTAAGAATAGAATTCCTATTTAAATCGTATTTAAATTATTTGGAAAGTCAGCTCAAATTCACTGAGTAAGGGCCCAAACTGAAGTAAATATCTAAATACCCATCTCTCAACTTCTGGGCTATGCTGCAGCAGAAGGAGACCCCCAACTAGGACGAGGCTGAATTCGGGGCTCTGCTTCATTCCAATCTCTGCCACTCCCAGCTGTGGGGCTCTAAACACGTCACTAACGTCTCTGAGCCTCGGTCCCCTGAACCATAAAATGAAGACATGAAGGGAAATTAAGATCTCCTCCAGTTCTCAAATGCCGTTATCTCTGATCAGTCACACACCCTTCACAGATGAGACTCAAGTGGAACATGACACAGCTCGAAAGAAACTCTGACCCCCGCTTTGGGCCCCTTGGATGCCTGACTACGATGGAGGGGCATCTCAAGGGTTAGAAGCATGAACACAGAATCAGTCAGACCCCCGTTCGAGGCTCAGCAGTGCTGGGACCACATGATGACACCCATGTTCCAATCTCCTTATAGCAATCGGGGAAAATAATGTAGGTGGAGGTACTCGAAGTTACCTGTGATAACAGTCATTACCATGGTAACAGTGCATCCAGAGCGAAAAAGGGAGAGTTTTACAGAAATGCCTCCAAGTAGAGAGATGAAAACTTCAGAAGTCTAAGGGATACTGGGTATTTAAAAATAAAGTCTGAAGGAACAGAGAGAAGAGAGGACGTGATGTGTGGAATGAATGGCGGAGTGCAATAATTGGTGGAAATGGTGACGAGTGCAACAATTAATTCAGGGAACCACGGTAACTACCGGGGTACCAGATACTCAGTCTCACTCTACAAACACTTGTGAACTACAAAAAGGAAGATGCAGATGTCTGACAACGACCAACTTAGCAAACGAGCGGCTTCACCAGCACCAGGACAAGCTGACATCACCCACTCCTGGACGCGGCCCCTGAGGACACACGTCACCCGCGCCGGCTGAAAACTGGTGAGCCTGAGCCCAACCGCGAGGAAGTGATCAGACCTACCCAGACTGTGGGACATCCTACGGGACTTCCAAGAGTCGACGTCACAGAAAGCCAACAGGTGGAGGGGCTCTTAGATGAAGAGTGCAGTGCTGGTTGAATGGCGGCCCCCAAAGACACGTCTGCATCCCAATCCCGTGAACGTGATCGTGTGGGGAAGAAGGAACTTTGCAGAGACCGAAGCGACACAGCCTCGGCCAAGGAACGCCTGGCGCCACGAGAACCTGGACGAGGGGAGGGGCGGAGGGGGCGTGGCCCCGCCCATAGCGCGGTTTGAGGCTCCGGGGCTTCTGACCTTCTGCGGCTTTATGGGCCCGAGTTTGTGGTCATTTCTCATGGCCTCCTTAAGAAACTATAAGACAGATAAATGCTCCCTGTGATAAATGAACCTTGAGTGGAGGCTGTCAAAAAAACCAAAAAACCAGATCCAAAACAGCTACAAAAGACACAGTAGGGACGAGCGGGAAACTGAAAAGACGGACTGAATGGTTAGATGATGTTGATGAAAGCTCCAATTTCTCTTAGGTATTACATGGTGTTATAATTACCTACGAGAATCTTCTCAGGAGCTGTGTCCAAAACCACTTATGAATTAACAGGGGTTAGATGTACAAATGTGGACGATGTTAACAAAAACATACAGTCAGCAGGAAAAACAAGCCAAGAGGGCTGCTTAGGAAAGGACTGGAGATGAGATGGGATGAAGGCGCTTCTCCCTGCTGGGCGAAGGGCAGGGCGGCCCTGATGCCTCTCCCCGGGGCAGAGCCAGCCGCCAGCTCTCCACGACAGGTGATGGGTCTCTGGGCTCTGGACATCCTGTCTCTGCTGGCTTCTGATGGCTCCCATTTTTCGGTCCAATTTGAAAGTTCTAATTTGCAGGGAGCTGTGAAATCACGCGACCAAACAGTCAATGTGAATCCAAAACTGAAATGGGTGGGAAGAAGGCTCAGGAGTAACTAGAACTCTGGGTTGAGGCCACCAGCAACTGCATGCCTAGGACAAAAATATAAATCCTGGACTTGGTTTTTGGCTTTCTGGCTGGCAACATTACTTAGCTATGGTGGGAACTACATGGAGCTGAGACCTAAAGAGCCCTAAACTCTGTACTTATCAACTGTGGTTAAAACTCAACATTAAAAAAACTAAGATCAAGGCATCTGGTCCCATAACCTCATGGCAAAGAGAAACGGAAAAAGTGGAAACACTGATAGATTTTACTTTCCTGGGTTCCAAAAATCACTGTAGACAGTGACTACAGCCATGAAATTAAAAGATGTTTGCTCCTTGGAAAAAAGCTAGACAGCATACTAAAAAGCAGAGACATCACTTTGCTGACAAAGGTCCATCTAGTCAAAGCTATGGTTTTTGCAGTAGGCATGTAAGGATGTAAGAGTCAGACCTTAAAGAAGGCCGAGCATCAAAGAATTGATGCTTTTGAACTATGGTTCCAGAGAAGACTCTGGCCCTTTGGACTGCAAGGAGATCAAACCAGTCAATCCTAAAAGAAATCAACCCTGAATATTCATTGAAAAGACTGATGCTAAAACTCCAACACTTTGGCCACCTTATGTGAAGAGCCAACTCATTAGAAAGACCCTGATGCTGGGAAAGACTGAAGGCAGGAAGAGAAGGGGGCAACAGAGGACGAGACAGTTGGAAGGCATCACTGACTCAATGGGCATGAATGTGAGCAAACTCTGGGAGACAGCGAAGGACAGGGAAGCCTGGCGCGCTGCAGTCCACGGGGTTGCAAAGAGCTGGACACGGCTGAGTGACTGAATGACAACAATCAGCTGTGGGACCCTTGGTAACTGCTCTGACCCTCTGAAACCTGTTTGCTCGGCTGTAGAAGGAGGTGAGCGCCACAAGCCTCATGGAGCATGAAGATGAAATAAGATGGGAGAAGAAAAGCAACAGGCAAGCTGATGGTGGCCACAGGAGCCGGCAGCCAAGGGGGCTTTGGGGGGTGGGGTGCGGGGAAGGGGATGTGAGTAAGGAAGGGCTCCCAAGTGGTTCCTGGCCTGGCTGTCGGCAGTGGGCATTCACAGTCGAGTGGCCGGGCAGCTGCGCCTGACCTGAGATCGCGTCGCCTGTTCCACATGGTGCTGCAGTGAGACTGGACTGACAGGACTTAGTCCAGGGAAGAGTCTCCCTGATAAGACGTGAGTTTCACGGCGGCCCTCTGTCGTGAGCCACCGCCTCTGTGAGCAGGAACAACTGTGAAGGGAGCGTGTCCTGGGTGTGACCTGTGCTGGCAGCTCTAGCATCCATATGGTTGCACTGCCGGCCTTCCAAATGAAAACGGCAGTGTTAGACACGGGCAGACCCTGCGGCTGCGCCTGGGGCGGGGGCCAAGGTCGGGGGGGGGGGGGGCTGCGCCCCTCACCGCAGGCCACACAGCTCCTGAACGCTGGCCTCAAGACGCCCTTCACGGCACTGCTGGGCCAGGGACCTGGGCTCACGGTAACCTCACGAGCGCCTCCAAATGCATAAAATGCCCCCCGTCAGCAGGGCAAAGGCCTTGGTGGGCTGGGAAACAGCAGCGGATGGATTTCCTTCCTTTTTAAAAAGTCTGTCCGTCTGTCCGCCCTTTCATCCATCTTTATAAGGCCGTTTATTTTTAAACGAGGCAAGTTCTCTCTACTCACCCTCCACAAAGACGACTTGAGTACTGAAAACTCATGCGGTAAGGTATGCTTACACCGCACTGGGCAGAGGTCCCGCCCCCCCTGCAACTTTCTGTTTTTACTTTTTATAAAGACGATGTTGCTTTATAAACATACTGTTATCCATGTTACATGATGAGTGACCGGAAGCTCAGAGAGGCGCAGTAACCTTCCTGAGGTCACACAGGCAAGCCCCAAAGGGCTCTCTCCATCACCCCCGCCGCCTCTGAGCGCGACACTGTGGCCTCGTTAGCTGGAAAATCCCGCTCAAGTTCCACCCATTCATGGAGCGCACCGGCCGAGGCCTGCCAAGCTGCTCTCCCCCGGGGAGGAGGTGGGCAGGTGGGAGCCAGTGCCAACCAGGCCTCAGGCTCACCTCGTTTAAGTGCCATGACCGGTGGGTGACTCTGTTACCTGGAGACTCAGTAAGCTACGCCGAGGTCATCTTGATCATTCACGTGGTGACCCAGAGTTAGAACACCCGTACCTGAAACCCAGGCCCAGAAGAAACAACAAGAGCCTTTATCTTAGGGGAGTGGGCCCTCCTTAAGCTTTATATATATTGCTGACCCACTTTGAGAATTTAATGAAAGCAGAAGGGGGTGGCAGAGGTTGGGATGGTTAGACATCATCAGTGACTCAAGGGACATGAATCTGAGCAGATTCCAGGACAGTGAAGGACAGGGGAACCTGGCATGATGCAGGCCGTGGGATCGCAGAGTTGGACAAGACTTAGAGACCGAACGACCACAGCCCATTCTTGATGCAGAAAAATGCACCCATTCACAAACATGCAATTTTGAATAAAATTCTGGGGGCGGGGGGGGGGGGCTGGTGCCCCTGGAAGATCATCTTATGATTCTAGGTTAAGCACACCTGATTTTAGAGCACTTAAGGATTTAAGGGACTGAACTGGCTTTCTTTGTGCATTAACAAGGAAAGGCTTAAAAATACGTGGGAGAGTGTGTGACAGAGCCCATAAGACCTCGGGGGCCATGACGTCATAGGAGTCCTCTCAAACACCTTGACGTTTTTGTTTGAACCTCACATGTAATTCTCAAGAGCGCCCAGGAAGCACCCTCGCTGGGCAGATGCGGGAAGGTTTCAGGGGCTTCTCAGGGGAGCAGCAGTGGAGATGGAGTGCAGCGGCCCCCAGACGTTTTGGCACCGCGGGCTGGTTTCAGGGAAGACAGTTTTTCCAAGGACCGGTGGGTCTGGGAACGACTCACGTGCGTTACATCTTTCTATTATCATTACATCGGCTCCACCTCAGATCATCAGGTGTCAGGTACTGGAGGTTGGGGACCCCTGCGGTAGGGGATCCCAAGGGCCTTTGCCCACTTGCCCAGGCCTAGTGATGCAACCACTCCCCAGCAAGAGTGTACCTCAAGGCTCTCCTGGGCTCCAGAATCATCCATCTTTGCAGTACCTTCCCCCACCCCTCGCCCCCAGTTGACTGACTATGTCCAAGACACAGCTCCAAGAATCTAGGCGTGACCCTGAGTTCCTCCCCGCCCCAGACTCTGCATCCACTCCATCTGCAAGGCTGCTCAGGCCAGCCTCCCTGACGCCTCTCTCTGCTTCCACTTTTTGCTCCCCTCGTCCTACCGCACCCCCACCATCTATCGGTAAAGCAGACAAGGGTCCTATTGAATCGAGTGGTTAAATATAAGTCACTCCTTTGCTTGAGATCCCCTCAGACTTCCAATAAGCAGAGTAACATCCCAAGTCTGTGCCGGGGGAGCTGTGATCTCCCCCAGCCTGACTCTGCCTGGGGAGGGACCCTGGAGCTCTGGACGCCCGGAGACCTGCGGGGCTCGTTCCTGCCTCGGGGCCTTTGCTCCTCTGCAAAGCGTTACTCTGGCCCCCAGAGGTTCCTCCCCACGCTCTCAGGGGACCCGTCCCCTCACTGGGGTCGCACTTGAGTTGTTGCTGTTTGGGGCACATCTTTTCAGTCTTCTCCTAACCATCTACCTTCCTTTTACTCTCTGTCCCTTTATTCACTTTATTCTTCTCAGTACCCTGAAATTACAGCGCATATCTGTACGTCTGCTTGTTTGTCCCCCTCTCAGCATGTAAGGAGCTCCGCCCAGACAGCTTCACCTGTCATGTTCACCTTTGTGTTCCTGGCACCTAAGAAGATCTGGCTCACACGAGACCCTCAGCAATATTCCGGTGAACGGGGTGCTCACTGGGTCCCAACTCCTTCCTTTAAAAAGAGCAGGGAGGCGCCGCCGTGTGCAAGTTCCTAAAAGCCTGGGTTCCAGCTGAATGCAGCACTCTGACACTCGCCCCGGAAACTTTTAGGGGCAGGTGACCCTTTCTTTCACAACTGCAGTCTCCTTATCAGAAAAATGAGGGTCGAGAGCATCAATCTCGTAGAACTGTGTTACGATTAAATGAGGTCATGAATGTCGAACACTTGGCACTCAGTGAGGGCTCAACAAATGATCGCTGTCACTATCATCACAGGTACACCATGATCATTAATGGTAACTGCACATAATTTGCCAAATGAAACTCTCCCAGAAGACTTGGGACCTCCCTTCATCACAAGATCACAATGTGGGGGTGGGGGGGGCTGTGGACTCTCTTTCAAGATCTCAGAGCAGACAAGAGAAAAAAACATACCCTCCACCCTCATCCAAACATTCTTATCTAAGCTAGGAGGAGGACAGTATCTCAGAAAAAAAACAGCAACAGCGCACACAACCGACTTGATGCTCGCCCCAGGATTTGACCCCGACCCTAAGACTGGCTCGCGCGCCTGCGAGGCCAAGAAATCACTTACGCAAATCTGTTCCGTACTTAAGTCCGGGCTTGGGCACCCAGCCCTTGCTGCGGAAGTGATGGTATGCCATGTAGGTCGTCCTGAACGTGGGCTGCACGGTGGTGAAAGCGTTCCAGAGCTTCATGATCGTTAAAGGCTCCTATGGTTGGTGGGGGAAGACCAGGCATTACTATGTGTGTACCCACCCGGCACCTCGCCAGTGAATCAACACCACCTCTACCAAATGTGAGCTGAACACGGTGCCTACGATGAAGGGTTTTAGCCGGAAGATACAGGCCCGAGACGTCCAGTGTGGCGGCCGCCAGCCACTCGCCTGCGACGTGCTGCCAGCGTAGAACACACACTGAGTTTCAAAGACTTCGTACGCAAAAGAGAACGCAAACTTCGTACGCAAAAGAGAAGCAGTTTTAAATATGTTGGGTTAAGACTACCTCAGTAGTTTTAAATATGTTTGGTTAAATAAACTATGTCAATCAATTTCAGCTGACTAAAAATAATAAAAACCTTTTCAATGTGGCTATTAGAAAATTAAAAGTTATGCATGCGGCTCTGGTGTGAGGCTCCCGTCGTATTTCTACTGGACGGCACGGCCACAGAGATCTGGGCAAGGCCCCCGGGACAGCCACCCTGGAGACGGAGCAGCCACGCGAGGGCAGGGAGGGCAGTGGACGGGGCGGTGGGGGAGAACGGCCCAGGCGGAGCAACGGGGGTGGCCCGGGCGCATGTTCCAGCATGCACAGACCCTGATGGGTAGCTACGGCATGGTGGGCCCCGTTCAGAAATGCAAAGTTCATTCTGTAAAAGCCTTAAAAGAAGATACTCCATTTAGTCTCTGAAACTAAGTAATTAATCCCATAGCACAAATTAATAATCCAACTGCTTGTTTCTAAGGTTGGACTTGAAGACACCATGGCTCAGATAACATTCTCATGTGTCAATTCAAAAACACCACATGCAGTACCAGGGAAGTTTGGAAAGTTTCCTGCTTCATTTCAGCCCTGAGTAAAAGGAGCCGATCTTTAGTTGGTTTACGGTTCAGTCACTAAATAAGACTTGCTCAGTTTGTCTCGACCTAAGATCTTAACACCATAAATATGAGCTAGAGTTGGGGCTTGCTTTCTTCTTAAACAAATAAAAAACCCAAAATAGTTGTTCCTATGGTGGAAACCCTGTATGTGCATGGTCTTCAAATCCAGCCCCCCACAAAACAAGCAAGAGTCTGGTAGAGAAGGCTGGACTCCGATTTGGACAGCTTGCCACGTTTCAGAGGCTGAGGATGCTACAGGGCAGCCGGCACGTCCTCAAGAGTGTTGGCGACGGCCCAGGGGAGGATGCAGGGCAGGCGGAGAAGGGCTGCCACCTGAGAAAGTGAGTCACCCACCAGCCATACACCCGTTCCCAAACCACGGGAGCACTTGCGAAAAAGATTTATGGAGTTAGAATCTGCTGAGTGATAAGACATGTGCTCCCAAGGACAGAATAAAATACATGTTCTCCCAGCTTCCCCAGTGGCTCAGATGGTTGAGGGTCTGCCTACAATGCGGGAGACCCGGGTTCAATCCCTGGATTGGGAAGATCCCCTGGAGAAGGCAACCGCAACCCACTCCAGTATTCTTGCCTGTGAAACCTCATGGATGGAGGAGCCTGGTAGGCTACAGTCCATGGGGTCACAAAGAGTTGGACACGACTGAGCAACTTCACTTCACTCACTTCTCCCGTCTGATGTTCTGCTTACCTTTTTCACCTTGATTTTAACTTGAGTTTTTTTGAAGAGGTATTGTATTCACAAGGTCCAAAATTCAGAAAGTACAGACGTGTGCGGTGAACTCTCGACTCCCACTGCCCCCAGCTCCTTCACCGGAAACGGGATTAACAATCTTCCAAGGGCAGCAGGCTACAGCATAAAACTGTGGGCTTCGGAGCCGCCCTGGCATCAGTTCAAATGCCAACTCCAATGAGACCAGCTGCGTGACCTGCGCAAGTGGCTTGTTTCCTGAGCCTCAGTCACCTCATCTGTAAAACTCTTCACGCGTGGAGGTAAGGCCCAGAAGTACCGCATGTAAGGTACTGGACTCACAACCTTCACTGAATCGGGTGCTAAACACAAGTGGCTTTCATTTCTGCTGTTAATTTTCAGTACTATTCTTACAGATTTCCTGATCATCAGATAAAGACACTGCTCTTCTCCTAGGAGCTGGGAATGAAATTTAGTCTCAAAGGGTCAAAGTTGGCTTTTCTGCCTGAAGAGTCTCAATTCAGGATCCAAAGATTAAACTTAGAGAAAAAAAATTAAATCCCAATTTCATCCAGTGAAAGTAGATACACTTGGAGTAAAGCAATATGAAAAGTATTTCAATGTGCTTTTGATATCAGGGAATTTTAAGTGGACTGTGTGAATAAAACACCTTACCTTTTCATAGTAAATACTCAGACATCCCAGAGCATAGACCAGGAAGAAGGCCTAAAAACAGGACAAGGAAAATGCTCATCAGAAACTGTTCCTTGTTCTCGACAAACTATTTCACAGATTGATTTCTTTTTGCCTTAAATATCAATGAATGTCTTTTGCACCATACAATTGGTCACGTACTTTTAAACATAAATGGTTCATTCAAATTTCAAGGGGTAAAACAGGCATGTCACAGAATAGTTTAGAATCAGTGAAAAAAAACAAACAAAAACACTTTTATGAAATTTTCCATATGTTTTCTCTTTTAAAAAACCACACAGTTAAACTGAAAAATGACATAAAGAGCAATAACAGTAGAAACTTTGGCTCACTGGATTTTCCTCTGTAAAATAACTGGAAAAAAAAATTGTAGAAGGAAAAACGAAGAAATTTGTGGAAAATGAGCAACGCAGACTTGGGTTGGCTCATAATCAAATGAGTTTCTTGGTCACTTGCTGGAAAGTGATTTCCTAACAAGTAAACCGCATCTTTCCATTAATTTCATCATATGGCACCATGCCTCCCTCACAGGGGGATACAAGGGGAAACGGAATGTCAGGCTCAGTTGCGTAAGATCACTCTGATGTGGAAATAAAAATAACCTTCTGACAAAAACAAAAGGATGCGCAGCACTGACACGAGGAAGCAGGCCCTGTATTTGCTCTGTCTGTAGAAGGGGGCTAGGATCTGAGTTTACACCTGAAGGGCTTGGGTGAGGCTGGTCTGCAGTAGACGGTGACTAAACAGTGGCTCTACATGCTACTTTCTTTCTAAACTTGAGGATGGAAGACGAGGCTCCTGATCAAACGACAGGTTCCCTGTCGAGGGCCCTCTGGTGCAGGCGACAGCAGAAAGGCAGCCCCGCCCCCACCACCTCCCCTCAGGCTGCTGTCCTTGGTGCTGACGGATGATCAAACGACAGGTACCCTGGAGGGACCCCCAAGCCCTCCGGCTGCTGTCCTCCCTGCCCAATGTTTAGAACGCGAGACCACAGCTGTGAAGGTGCAGGGCTTTCAAGGAGAGACAAGGCTCGGCTAAGGAAACACCTTCCCGACCCTCAGAAATCGCCCCAATCTACCCCACTGCCACCCTCTCCTGGCCACCTGATGACATTTCTCTTTACAGCAGTGGTCCTCAAGGTGTGGCCAGTCGGGAGATCCTAGGGTCCCCAAGACCCTTGAAGGGGAGCCACAAGGTCAAAACCATTTCCTGAGATTAAGGCTCATTCTCCCAGAGGCTCTGACATATGTGATACCACAAGAGGCTGAATGCAGCAGCAGATGTGAGAATCCAGGGCGCTTCTCTTCAACCAGACCTTACAGTCTTTGCAAAAACAAAAAAACCATGCTATTCTTCTCACTCGGTTTGTTTTGCTTTGAAAGAATATAGTTATTTTTCAAAAATATTATTTCAGTGGGTTTATTATCATGTAAAATAAGTTAACAAACACATAATTAAATTTTCATTTAAATATATAATTTGATAAACATCAACAGATATATAATCCACGTAAGATGCTCCTCGGGGTCCCTCAACTGTTTTTAAGAGAAAAGTGGTTTGATGACTACTTCAGTTCCGCCCTGATCCACACGGAGCTGCTCTGAAGACCAGCGGGTCTGGGGCCGTGCCACCCTGGACGCGCCGACCTCGTCTGAGGACCAGTGCTCTCCTGCTGCCTGCACTTCTGCAAAGGCCCCGCGTCCTGGCCCCACAGCCTCTTCTCTGGGCAGCCCAAGCCACGTTCCCAAAGTGGGAAGACCCCCGGCTCCCAGGAGCCTGGCCGCCCACCTGCCTTCACTGCCTCCAGCCCTGCGACTCTTCCCAGCAGGTGCTTCACGCCTCTTCTAACGCACGGAGCTGGGTCCTGCCTTGGCCTTTGTAACTGCTGCTCAAAGGTCAAGGGGTCAAAGGTCACTCCTCAGATAGGTGTTCCTCAGGGAACCTGTTTAAACAATCCCCATTCTGATCGACTTTTCACAGATGGGGAGGATCTTGTTCCAGTGGGGTTGGCACTCTTGAGAACTAAGTCATCAGTGTTGAAGGGGCTTGCATACCTTGATCAAGTCACAAGCCATGCTGAGCAGGGTCCCCCAGGACGGAAGGGTCACAGTGGAGAGTTCTGACAAAATGCAGTCCACCGCAGAAGGGAATGGCAAACCACTCTAGTATTCTTGTGGTGAGAACCCCATGAACATCATCAGTATGAAAAAGCGGAAAGATACAACACTGAAAGATGAACCCCCCAGGTCAGAAGGCATCCAACATGCTACTGGGGAAGAGCGGAGGGCAATTACTAACAGCTCCAGAAAGCACGGAGAGGCTGAGCCAAAGCGGAAGCGGTGCTTCGCTGTGGACGTGTCTGGTGGTCAAAGTCAACTCCCACGCTGTAAGGAACAAGCTTCACAGGAGCCTGGAATGTTACGCCTGTGAATCAAGGTAAAGCAGACCTGGTCAAGCAGGAGATGGGAAGAGTGAACATCAACATCTTAGGAATCAGTGAACTAAAACGGATGGGAAAGGGCAAATTTAGTTCAGATGACTATACTATGTACTACTGTGGGCAAGAATCCCCTAGAAGAAATGGAGGAGCTCTTACTCAACCAAAGAGTCTGAAATGCAGTACTTGGGTGCAATCTCAAAAACGACAGAATGATCGTGGTTCATTTTCAAGGCAAACCATTCATCATTACAGTATATATCCAAGTCTATGCCCCAACCACTAATACTGAAGAAGCTGAGTGGTTCTATGAAGACCTAAAAGACTCTCTAGAACTTACACACAAAAAAAGATGTCCTTTTCTTCACGGGGAATTGGAATGCAAAAGCAGGAAGTCAAGAGATACCTGGAATAATAGGCAAGTTTGGCCTTGGATAGGAAGCAGAGCAAAGGTTAAAAGAGCTTTGCCAAGAGAACACACACTGGTCATAGCAAACACCCTCTTCCAACAGCACAAGAGAAGACTCTACACATGGACATCACTAGATTGGTCAACACCGAAATCAAACTGATTATATTCTTTGCAGCCAAAGATGGAGAAGCTCTATACAGTCAGTGAAAACAAGATTGGAAGCTGACTGTGGCTCAGATCATCAGCTCCTTATCCCAAAATTCAGGCTTAAATTGAAGAAAGTAGGGAAAACCATTAGACCATTTAGGTATGACCTAAATCAAATTCCTTATGATTATATAGTGGAGGCAGTGAATAGATTCAAGGGATTAGATCTTATAGACAGAGTGCCTGAAGAATTATGGACAGAGGTTCACAACATTGTACAGGAGGCAGTGACCAAAACCATCCCAAAGAAAAAGAAATGCAAGAAGGTGAAGGGGTTGTCTGAGGAGGTTGTACAAATAGCTGAGAAAGAGGTGAAGCAAAAAAGCAAAGGAGAAAGGGAAACATATTCCCAAGTGAATGTAGAGTTCCAAAGAATAGCAAGGAGAGCTAAAAGGCCCTCTTTAATGAACAATGCAAAGAAGTAGAGGAAAACAATAGAATCGGAAAGCCTAGAGATCTCTTCAAGAAAATTGGAGATACCAAGGGAACATTTCATGCAAAGATGGGCAGGAAAAAGGAGAGAAATGATAAGGATTTAACAGAGGCTGAAGAGATTAAGAAGTGATGGCAAGAATACACAGAAGACTATATAAAAAAGGTCTTAATAACCTGGATAACCACAATGGTGTGGTCACTCACCTAGAGCCAGACATCCTGGAGTGTGAAGCCAAGTGGGCTTTAGGAAGCATAACTACAAACAAACTATTGGAGATGATGGAATTCCAGCTGAGCTATTTCAAATCCTAAAAGGTGATGCTGTGAAAGTGCTGCACTCCATATGCCAGCAAAGTTGGAAAACTCAGCAGTGGCCATAGGAATGGAAAAAAGTCAGTTTTCATTCCAATCTCAAAGGAGGGCATTGTCAAAGGACGTTCAAACTATTGGATAATTGTGCTCCTTTCATGTGCTAAGAAGGTTTTGCTCAAAATCCTTCAAGCCAGGCTTCAGCAGTATGTGAACCCAGAACTTCCAAATGTAAAAGCTGGGTTTAGAAAAGGCAGAAGAACCAGGGATCAAATTGCCAACATCCACTGAATCACAGAGAAAGGAAGGGAATTCTAAGAAAACATCTGCTTCATGGACTGTGTGAAAGCCTTTGACTGTGTGAATCACAACAAACTGTGGAAAACTGTTAAAGAGATGGTAATACCAGACCACCTTATCTGCCTCCCAAGAAACCTATAGGCAGGTCAAGAAGCAACGATTAGAAACAAACATGGAACAATGGACTGATTCCAAATTGGGAAAGAAGTATGGCAAGGCTGTCTATTGTCACCCTGCTAATTTAACATATGCAGAGTACATCATGGGAAATGGTGGACTGTGTGAATCACAAGCTGGAATCAAGATAACTGGGTGAAATATCAATAACCTCAGACATGCAGATGATACCACTCAAATGGCAGAAAGTGAAGAGGAACTAAAGAGCCTCTTGATGAGAGTGAAAGAGGAGAGTGAAAAAGCTGGCTTAAAACAACATTCAAGAAACTAATCAGATCATGCTATCTGGTCCCATCACTTCATACAAACAGAGGGGGAAAAGTGGAAAGAGTGACAGATTTCATTTTCTTGAGCTCCAAAATCACAGTGAATGGCGACTGCAGCCATGAAATCAAAGACGCTTGCTCTTTGGAAGGAAAGCTATGACAATCCAGACAGCGTATTAAAGAGCAAAGACATCACTTTGCCAACAAAGGTCTGTATAGTCAAAGCAATGGTCTTTCCAGTAGTCATGTTGGACCATAAAGGTTGAGTGCCAAAGAATTGATGCTTTCCAATTGTAGTGCTAGAGAAGACCCTTGAGAGTCCCTTGGACTGCAAGGAGATCAAATCAATCAATCCTAAAGGAAATCAACCCTGAATAGTGTTTGAAAGGACTGATGCTGAAGCTCTAACACTTTGGCCACCAATGAAGAGCCGACTCATTGGAAAAGACCCTGATGCTGGAACAGATTAAAGGTAGGAAGAGAAGGGGGCAACAGAGGATGAGATAGTTAAGATAGCATAACAGACTCAATGGATATAAATTTGAGCAAACTCCAGTTAATAGTAAAGGACAGGGAAGCCTGGCAGGTTACAGTCCACGGGTCGCAAAAGAACTGGACACAACTAGGCGGGTAAAGAACAACAAGTCCAGGGAGGTCTGCGGGGAATGTTGACTTTGTTCCTTGAAATGTCACAGTAAGTCTTTACTTTGGGAGTACTAATAACGATGGATAATGGGTTTCCCTGGTAGCTCAGTCAGTAAAGAATCCACCTGCACTGCAGGAGACCCGGGTTCAATCCCTGGGTCAGGAAGATCTCCTGGAGAAGGAAATAGCAACCCACTCCAGTAATCTTGCCTGGAGAATTCCAGGGAGAGAGGAGCCTGACGGGTTACAGCCCACCGGGTTGCAAGAGTCGGACACGACTTAGCAACTAAACCAACCACCATGATGGATGGATGAGCCTAATGATGGCTTTAACGCCGTATCACTAGGTCTGGTCAGGGCCTAAAGTGTTAAGATGAAAAACAGCTCTCCAAGACAGATGTCTATGCCAGCTCAGTGATACCATTCTCACACCCTAAGGGCCACTTTGAATCACCACAGCAGGGCTGCCCACGTTCCTCGTGGGCATTTATGGAAACATGGAAAACGGCACGGGTGGTGCTGATAAACAGGGATGATGCAGCCAAGGAAATCGGCCAAAACGGAGCTGGGAAGCGGGGCTGGGTTTAACAGGTAGCAGCCTGCAGACTTCTGCCAACATGTCTCTGGAATTTCTCAGGGACCAAGCAGCTTGCAGGAATGAGAACCCCAACATGTCTCTGGAATTTCTGAGGGACCAAACAGCTTGCAGGAATGAGAACCCCAACATGTCTCTGGAATTCCTGAGGGACCAAGCAGCTTGCAGGAATGAGAACCCCAACATGTCTCTGGAATTTCTGAGGGACCAAGCAGCTTGCAGGAATGAGAACCCCCTAGTCTCCTGTCACTCCAGCATTTCTTCAGCAGGTGTTTGGGAAGCGGGAGCAAGACAGTCAGTGAGAAGCATCAGTAGGTCAGTGGGCTGGAGCAGAGCCTCGGGTTCCTGACACGCGTCTGTCCCTTCAGGCCCCACCAGTTTCTGGGCCGAGCCCAGACCCCGTGCACGTCCCCTGATAAATCATTACCGAGCACCTCACAGACGTCAGGCACTGGGACGAGGGCAGGGCACAGCTGCAGCCCACTGCCCACGCTGCGCCCGTCACACCAGACCACAGTCCCGTCTGTCTGAGGACCTGAGCCACGTTCTGCTTACCTCTGGACTGTTAATACTCAGCCCAGGGCCTGGACACAGAAAGCACCCGGTGAATAATTTTGCTTAACATTAATTGCAAAGGAAAGAATTCCAACCAGCCACTAATGAGCTTGCACAAGTGCCCATAACGATGGCGATGACAGCAACAGCGGGCACCATACTCCCCGAGCACCTGCGACTCAATGCACGCTTCGCTGAGGCCATCACATGCACTACTGATTCCAGACCACCTAACGGACGAGGTGTTACACGACCCTCACATCACAGTGCAGAAACCCGAGGCTCAGAGAGGTCAAGCAACTAGAGACTGGTGTTCCCAGCACGACCCAACAGAGTCGCCACGCATGCCTGCTAAGCGTCTGAAATGCGGCGGGCACAACCGAGGACAGGGGTTTTAATTTTGCTCCATTTTAATGAGTTTATCTAGTCACACGCAGCTAGTGACCGCTGGATTTGACAGCGGGCTCGGCTGTCTCGTGTGTAGAAGGAGTAGATGAAGTGAATAAATCCTGACGTCCTTTCCTGCCTGCGAGCTCCTCTGTGCCCCGCTGGCCTCACTGCGGAGGGAGGCACGGGCCAGCGGGAGACGCATCGCGTCTCTGTGAGCACATCTGGGGAATGACCGGCGTGGATGAGCTCAATGAGTGCAGCTGAGACCCACAGAGATGCCCAGACCTGAGCCAGATGCCGCGGGGGTCGTCCAGACAGGCAGGGGCGCCCCCGGAGAAGGGCAGAGCCACAGACACGAGACGGAGGAGGGGCGCTGCCTTCAAACCCGGGAGCAGTACAGACAGAAGCAAAAAAGGAGGCGCTCAAGGCTGTGTGAACATGGGATAGAGGAACCCCAGAGAGAAAACCGGAGGCAGGTTTAGAAACCCACCTGCACCCACTTTTGAGGCTTCCATAAAGGGGACACGTTAGTAATTCTGCAGAAGGAAACACCTAGAATCTATTCACACAATCAGCTGTCATGACATGACCCGGAGCACGCATCACAGTCTACAAAAAGCTGGTGAAGCTCCAGGAATATGCTAAAAACCAATGCACAGGGGCTTCCCTGGTGGCTCAGTGGTAAAGCATCTGCCTGCCAATGCAGGAGACATGGGTTCAATCCCCAGTCCAGGAAGATCCCACATGCCTCGGAAGAACTAAGTCTGTGTGCCCCAGCTACTGAGCCCAGGAGCCTGAATGCTCGAGAGCCCGCTCTCCACGACAAAAGCAGCTGCTGCAAGGGGAAGCCTGTGCACCACACTAGAGAGGGATCCCTGCTCACCTCAGCTAGAGAAAAGCCCGTGCAGCAGCGAAGACCCAGCAGCGCCAAATAAACAATCATACAGGCGTGTGCGTGTGCGTGCATGCATATACATGGCCTTCCCTGGTGGCTCAGACACTACAGAACCCACAGGTCGTCTGCAACGCGGAAGACCTGGGTTCGATCCCTGGGTCAGGAAGATCCCCTGGAGGAGGGCATGGCAACCCACTCCAGTACTCTTGCCTGAAGAATCCCATGGACAGAGGTGCCGGGCGAGCTACAGTTCATGGGGCTGCAAAGAGTCGGACATGACCGCCAATTCACAGCACACACACACATAAAACCACTGCACACATTAAACGAGAGAACAGTACGTATGCGCCGTGTCTCAATAAACTTAGAATTTTTCCACGCTTAGTTGTTCAGTCCTGTCCGACTCTTCGCGGCCCCAGGCTCCTCTGTCCATGGGGATTCTCCAGGCTAGAATACCGGAACGGCTTGCCATGCCCTCTTCCAGGGGATCTTCCCAATCCAGGGATTGAACCCAGTTCTCCCACACTGCAGGCCGATTCTTTACCATCTAGGGCACCATTTTTCTACAGAAGCTGGTTTAAAAAAAAAGAGTAAAACGGTATTTGGACAATCTGAAACCCTGATGTAAAAAGAAGAGTCAGACGACCTGCTGAAACCTCTGTGGGATACTGGGCAGGACCCACAAACGGACCTCCTAGAGTGGATAAAGTGAAGGCCGAGGAGTGAAATGCAGACAGGCCGGCCGTGGGGGCTGCCTGTGGGGGTCTCGGTCCCGAAGTGCAGGCGGAACTGCACTGAGGCGGATTGTCTACACCATGTTGCCCAGGCCCGAGGCCCACAGCTGAGAAACATGCTGGAAACTTTACCTCTTCTAGGCTGAGCTGCAGATACTCGAAGATCCTAAACGGATTTCTTCTACATACCAGTCTCTTCTGCGGCAACACCTGAAGAGGAAAGTAAGATACACATAGGACAAACGTCAGTCCTACATGTTATACGGAAGGGGCTACATTTTAAAATGAACATACTTCTAAGTTTCCCAGATCCACATTTGCTGGACTCTGTTAAAAAATGAAATTTTCTATTATTTACGTAGAAAAACAAGTTTTTGTTTTCCTTTTATAGCTGACCCTTGAACAACAAGGGTGCTGGGGCGCCGAACTTCCAGGCAGCCGAAAATCTGCATGTAACTCATGGTTGGCCCTCACTTCCTGCCTATCTGTGGACTCAGCCAACTGCAGGTCATGGAGCGCAGCACTTACTACTGAAAGAAACACTCTCCTAAGCAGACCCATGTTCCCACCCATGTTGTTCCAAGGCCAGTACTGACATCTTGACTTATTTCTTTTTATCCTCCCTGGAGGATCCTTTCGTGGGTCAATTTCACCTGTTCCTTTTTTCTCACCCGACTGCACACCTCACAAGAATATGCCTAGGTTCTTAATGAGACTCCACTCTAAAGGAAAGATAGCATTTCTTCACGGGGGTGTTTCACGTACTATCTAATTAATTGTGAGACTGCTTCTCACTTCCAGCTTCCACAGATCATTCTGGGGGCAACTGCCGAGTACGTCCCTTAAGGAAGCGGCTCCAGCTCCGCGCCCCACCTCCTCCTGTGACGGCTCCCGCACACCTGAGCCCGCGCCCACGGCTACCCTCAAGACCTGCTGATCACCTCGTTCTTCTCCCCGGCAGAGAGGATGTTACCTGACTTGCGTTATTTCATACGCATGAAGCCAGGTTATTCACAGACTCTGAGGTTTTAGTTGAAACAGCCCTGCTGACTGCTGCGCCCGCAGGGCCGCTGGGGCCTGCAGAGGCTCTCCCAGGCCCCGGGCGCTGACCGCCAGCTCACTGCCAGGTCCCAGTGAGGGCCGTCCCCCCTGGCCAGCACCTCTGGGCCAGGAACAGCCGGCTCTGCCGGAAGCGATCTCTTCCCTTCTACTTACGTCCCCCGCTGGGGCCTCTTCGCCTTCGCTCCCGGCACACACGGCTTCCTCCACCAGCACGTGCTCAGGCCCCCTCTCTCCGGCCCGGGCCAGACTGGCTCGCCGGTTGCTGTCCCCAGGCTGACCGCCAGATGGCGGCAGGAGAGCGTCCTGTCTGCCGCAGTGGCCGCGGGGCAGAGGCGCGGGGACCTCGGCCACGTGTTCACCCGAGCCGCCGTCTGGGGCTCGGGGCTCAGGCCCGGGGCCCTCCTGCAGGCCGTCTGATCGCTCGCTGGAATCCTCCATATCACACGACTTGCCCTCGACCCCATTCACGGCAGAGAGGTTCTGTCTGTGTGCTCTGCCTTCCGATGTGGAAACCAGATCGGAGTCGGGCTCATGGCCCAACGGGCCGTCTTCCGTCCTTTTCAGACGAGGATGTTCAAGGGGCTTCGTGTAACCCGCGAGCATGCTGCGCACCGTGCTCTCGTCCCGGCCCTGTCTTCGCAGGAGCTCTGCGGCCCACTCCACGCTGCGCTGATACCTGCAAACGGGGAAGTCTGTTAGCAACGACACTGCAGTGTCGGTATTAAAGAGACAAAAGACAGTTAAAAAAACAAGGAAAAAAGCAAGGAAGAAAAAAGAAAAGACAGCAGAACGTGTGAAAACGATGGGAAGGCAGTACGCCAAAAGTCTATAGTTCTTCTTAATGATGGACTATAGGTAAATCATTTCTTTACACTTCTCTGCATTTTCTAACTGCTCTGTGATAACTATTGTTATTTATTTTTATTACAGAGTTTCGCTTAATTTGAACCAAAAAATGACCCCAGCTTAACAAAGTGTGAAAATGTATGTGATTTAAACCTGGTGGACCAAGGACTTCCCTGGTGGTCCAGTGGCCAAGCTCCAGGTTCCCAGTAGAGGGGACCTCGGTTCAATCCCTGCTCAGGGAACCAGATCCCACCTGCTGCAAAGATCCTGTAGGCACCAACGAAGATCGGAGACCCAGTGTGCCACACCTGAGACCCAGCACAGCCAAATAAATAAATAGAAATAAATATTAAAAAACTGGTGGACAAAATGATCTAGGTAAATATAAAGAGAAAAATGGTCATCCTCTGCCAGGGTTCGTTCTGTATTACTTTCCGTTTTGGATACCATGAAGTTTTCAGACATGTATCCCAGTCACAGGAAAAGGTCTTTGTTTAGTGTTGGAAAGCAAAATGAGAATTTTAATGAACATTTTTCACAGAACCTACTAATGTCTGTACTGCACATGGAAAAGAACAGTTACAGTTATATACACCCCAGCATCTTAAAAGAAAAAAATGACCCCTCCTCCACAATTTTCAAAATGTATTTTAATGAGATAAAACACTCTACATTTCTTAAACTTGAAGGCAAGCCCTGAACACGTCCCAAGTTACAAACGGCCACAGGTTCTGACTAGTGAAGCAAGGGTGCTGGGGTGCGTCACGTGGTCCAAGATGCACACATGTGGAATCACATGAGCATGGGTGAAAGAGCGTGAGACTCAAGCTCCGTTCACCTCCACCCACAGCGATCGGTCTGGAAAGCGTTTAGAGAAGCCACATGGCTCGTGGGGAGACAGCGGTCACTTTTCTCTTCACCTCGGGCATCCTGCCTGGGTGCAGATGATGGACGCGCCGTGGTTTGTAAACTGCTAGTGACACATGGTGAAGCTCGGGAGCAAGCTGGCTTCTGCTGTTTTTGTAAAGAGAGCGATGGCCGCCCCACCCTGACTCATCAGAAGCATCTCCAAGCTGTCCATGCCCTGTTTATCCTGCACGGGGATGAGCGGGCTGTCCTGTGTATACTGGGAACGGAACCACAGATGTGAAGACCATGACCCAGCGAGGCCGCTCTCCATCCATGAGACGGCTGCGGGGGTGATCACACGCACAGGACCAGAGTCCTGGCGTCTCGTGTTCAGCCCTGTCTTGGTCCGTCACTGCTGGGTGGCAAAGCCAATGGCGTAACTGCTCCATGCCTCACATTCCCCCTAAAATAGAGGCAACAGTACTGTGACCTCGTAAGGGTCACATCACTTGCTGCTGTTTAATCGGGGTAAAACGTCGCTGCCCAGAGAACAGCAGGGTGTCTCTTCTCCTGCATGAAAGGCACAGCCACTCTCGTGGGCAGTCGGAAGCCTTTTCACACGAGCGATCTAAATGCATCTGTGCTCTTCACACCACCTGTAACGCTGCCTAAAGCCTTCGTGGGTCTATGAATCTGTGTCTGAACAAAAATGTGTATTTGTGTCATGTATATTTTCCTGGGGAAGGGATCCACGACTTTTCAACAGATTCCCTGAGTAAAACATGCGAAAGAACCACTGAATTAAAGGTTCAACAGTTCCCCCTTTGGGCAGATGGTGGAGCTGAGAGAGACAAAGAGCAAGAGAGCAAAAGAGACAGCGCGCGCACAGACCCCTGCTCTGCCATCAGAGCAGAGTGGTCGAGGCAGACGCGGGCCAAGCCCTCACTGTGAGCGCGAGGTTCTCGCACCAGCTGCGTGGCCGCCCCTCCCAGGCTCAGAGACACCGGTGCCCGCCCCGGCCAGCTGTGAGTGCAGACTAAAGGGGACCAGACACGTGAAGGGCTCGGCGCACAGGCAGTGTTGGACAAGTATTTGTTAGCTTGGGACTGTGGGGTCTCGGGGGCAGACCTGAAAAGTAAAATCATCTTGACTCCAGACACAGTACATTTCACAACACAAACGATGCTTTAACAGATGGAGACGCAGCCTCGGCAGGCTGCTCCCTGGGAGCGGGACTGGGCTCCTCCCTGTGACTCTGAGCGAAACCACTCGGCGTCCAACCCCTTTCTCTGCTGTCCTGCCGCTGCCCGCATCACACCCGAGTCCCTGCCTCTAACGACCTCACACTGGCTGGTGGACAGCGGCTGCTGAAGCGCGTGCAGGAAAGCCTCCGAGGCAGACCGGTGATTGACACATGGCAGAGGGGCACAGGAGAAAGGGTGTCCTCCCGCTGGTGGGCGATGCCTTTAGAAAGTCCTGCTGTGATCAGCTCCAAACACTGCTGGAGAAGCAGCAGGAAGAGCTGGGAAGCCTAAGGGCAGAGCGGCAGCTCCGATCAGAAGCCAGACTGAGGCTGGTGACCCCTCAGACCCATCCCGGGGCCCCCCAACCCCTGAGCGGGGCCACCTGAACACACCTCAGCTTCGCAGGCACCCCTGCCCTCGGACACACGTCTTCCATCCACAGAGAACACCCTGCCCCACCTCTTACTGATTAAGGCTGACTTATTATTGGAAATTCTCAGCAAAACAGTTTTCAGTCAGTCTGCTTAGGTCTAAGTGCTGACCCTCAGCAAGTTAACTAACCTCTTCCTGTTCTGTGTCCTCACCTTCCAAGACAGACAACACAGGACTGACCTCCGGGGGGCAGTGAGCGAACGAAAGCAGCTAGCCCACAAAGCTGCCATGAGCGCAGTGCTTGTCGCATGGGAGACGCCCCAGAAACGCTGGCACGTACAAGTTCACAGTCACCTCCCACCCCCAGGCTCCGGAGCTGCTCCGCCTGGTTCAAGCTCAAGTCCTCTTGGGCAGCTCTCGGGAGGCTCCCCACGTGGGGGACGCAAACAACTACACCCACCTCAAAGGTTTCCCCAGAAGATGAACTGGGGTGATGCGGGTAGGCGGCCTGGACCAGGACTGGTGCTGCTATGACAACGGTAACGATGCTGACAGCGAGGGCGACAGCCCGTCACTACACCCATCACGGAAGGGTCAACTGCCTCCTCTACCCCTCCTCTCCCAGGAGAGTCTACACGGCCCCGAGGAGAGGACCCAGGGCTCTCCTCCGCTCACGCCTCCCATGCCTGCCCAGCGCCTGACCCACGTCATTCTGCCCACGGCCAACGTCCGCCAAGACTTACTTCTTTGATGTGATTACTGGTAGGTCTAGCTTCATATCTGCAACAACAAGGAAGTTTCTGTTAGTTTACAGACTGACAGCCTAGAAAAGACAGAGAGAATTCTGAGGTCTGCAAAAATCTCACACCCAGGAGGTTGATTAATCCTGTCCGAGCAGCCGCAGCGAACACGTGCTGTATAAACCACCTCTCTCTGCCACCCACAGCCCCTGCAGGTGCCGCTGACCCGTCAGGGCTCAGACATGACCTCGGAACCCTTCTCAACACTCCAGCTAAGCGGCCGCGGCACAGAGGGGGAGACTATCACCTCTGGATGCTCAGGCCCTCGACTTATCTTTCACTTCCCAGACCAGGGACCAAACCCGTGTCTCCTGCTTTGCAAGACAGATTCTCAACCACTGGACCACCAGGGAAGCCCCAGGCCCTCGATTTCTCAATGAGAGCACTGAGGCTCTAAAGGTGCACACTTCATTCTGCTGGGCATCTGGCCGGAAGAGTCTTCCTGCCTGAAGTGTTGAGGAGGTCACCTCGCGGCATAGGTTTTCGTCCTCGACCTCCCTGACCCCACCCGTGGGGAAGTCATCTCTGTTTCCTGACTCCCTGCCCGGTGCTCTAAACGCCTGGAGTCGTTCATGTTCGGCTTTAAAATCCTAGGGAAGCGAGTTCACAGACTCCTGTCTCCTTAGGAATGAGAGTTTTCCTGGTGTCATGACCTTCCTCTTCTGGGAGTTTTACAACAAGCAACAACTTAGCAGGTGTTACTGACACCCTTCCACCTACCAAGTAGAGGAAATACAGACGCAATAAAGCAAATCCCCTCTCCTTGAGATACTCATACTCTAGCTGGGGAGACAGACCAGCTGAACACTGATTCTAACCACAGCTGATATATGGCAAGGAAAGCATGTATCAAGGGACTGGCTTACTCAAACTGGGAGGGTTAGGAAAAAACACAAAGGAGAAGGAATAATTGAGTTGGGCTCTGCAGAATGAGGACGAGTTCGCCAGGCAGGCCAGGGGAAAATGCAGAGGGATCCCTGCAGAGGCCGGGAGACGGCAAATGCACAGCAGGTTCACACAACAGCCCGCAGCCCACGGTGGGTGTGGCGGCAACAGGTACAATGGGGCAGAAAGGAACAAAAGGTGGAAGGTGAGGCTGAAGCCAAAAGGCTGAAGAACATCCTGAAATGGACACTTGAGGAGATCTACTTCCGGAGGGCAGCCTATACCCTTAATCTCTGCTTCCTTGGCCTAAATGCATTTCCTTCACATTTTGTTCACTATTGAAAACTTAAGTTATACTACATAGATCAGGAAAAGCTTCTCAACAGTTAAGCTCATCACACTATTTGAAACTTTTTATTTTGCCAAGTATTTGTAACCGCTGAGGCTGGGTGGTGAGGACACAGATTCATGATGCTTATTTGCTCTACCTTTTCTCCCTCTTTAAAAATTAAAACTCTACGAAAAAATTTAAAGTGTATAACAGTAGAGAGAATAGTATAATACATTCCTATGTTCCCATCACTCAGCTTTAACTCATGGCCAGTTGGGGCTTCCCAGGTGGCTCAGTGGTAAAGAATCCACCTGCCAATGCGGGAGAAGAGGATTTAATCTCTGGGTGGGGAAGATCCCCTGGAGGAGGAAATGGAAACCCACTTCAGTATTCCTGCCTGGAGCATTCCACAGATAGAGGAGGCTAGTGGGCTACAGACCATGGGGTTGCACAGCTGAACAAGTCATGCTCCCTACGTCTCCTGCCCCGGCCCCGGATGATTCAAAACACACCTCCCATCATTCCGGCTTTGGGGCACGTGTGCTCAGCCGCTAAGTTCTATCCGACTCTCTGCGGCCCCCTGGACTGTAGCCCGCCAGGGCTCCTCTGTCCATGGAATTCTCCAGGCAAGAATACTGGAGCGGGTTGCCAGGCCCTCCTCCAAGGGGTCTTCCCGAGCGTTCACAATGACTGGAGAGTGTGCCCGAGCTGGCCCGTGGAGGATGACCACATGGTGCCCGCCACCTCTTATCGCAGTTGAGACCATCCTGGACCAGCGGACAGCCATCCAGTCTAGCTGGATGCATCACTGGATCCATCACTGCGGCCAGCAGGTCCATGGCTAACCAGACATGAGCCCATCCAGCCAAGAACAGCAGACCTACCCAGAAAACCTGGAGACTCAATGAGCAACGCAGGTGGTTTGTTCCACAAGATGGTGGCGGGAGATATAAAGTCTATCCCATTAGCGATGCTGAATTACTGGGCTTTTGTTTTTGGCCGTGCCACATGGCATGTGGGATCTCTTTTAGTAATTTACTTATTTTTGGCTGTGCAGGGTCTTCGTTGCTGCGTGGGCCTTTCTCCCGTTGCAGAGCACCGGCTTGAGGGCTCTTAGGCTTCAGCAGTTAAGGCACGTGGGCTCAGTACTTGTGGGGCACAGGCTTAGTTACTCTGTGGCCGATGGGATCTTCCTGGACCAGGGATCGAACCCGTGTCTCCTGGATTTGCAGGCGGACTCTTCACCACTGAGCAACCAGGGGAGACCCTATCGTGTTTTAAAGTCACTCAAAACAGCTTCCCCTGTGGCTATACCATCAACGTGATACACAGGTTCTTCATTTTCTCGATTTTTTTGTGTTTTTTTTAAAATAAAATTAACTTTTTAAAAGTTAATTTTTGTTTGTAGTCATGTAATACGTTTACAAGTTTCCAAAGTCAAATCTAGTCTCACTTTTCTCTCCATCCTATTCTATCCCTCCCTCACAGGCATTTAAAAAAATTATAGTTTATCCTTCTTTACATTTCAAAATGTATCTGACGTCTCCTCCCCAGAGATGACCCATGGCACACTGTTCTTTACCTTGCTTCCTCTGCTTAGAAATAACAGCTTAGCGAGCCCCTACGCCTATCTCAGTGCCACAGCACATCCTTGTAAGAATGGGCTATGCTTTATTCAGCTGGTACCCGCATGGCTATTTGGGTTATTTCTAGTCTTTTAACATTAGGAACAGTGTTGCAATGAACAGCCCTGGGCTCTTTCTTTTCATAGTTTTGCCAGCTTATCTTCAAGATAAATTCCCAGGAGTGCAATTGCTGAGTTAAAAGCAAACGCATCTATTGGACAACGGGGTATCTTCAGGCAAAACAATGAAGCTGGACCCATATCTTACATCAAAGAAAAATTAAATCAAAACAGATGAAAGACCCAAACTTGAGAGCTGAAACTATCAACCTCTTAGAAGAAACCCTGGGGAAAATCTGCATGAGCTTGGATTTGGTAATGGTTCCCTAAACATGACCGCAAAACACACGCAAGAAAAGAAAAAGGATAAATTAGACTTCATTAAAATGATAAACTTTTATTACCATGTCACGCCCATTAAAATGGCTATTATTCAAAAAAAACAAAATAATGAGGGGTGGTGAAGATGTGGAAAAACTGGAAAACCTTATGCACTGCTGATGGGAATGTAAAATGACGCAGGTGTGATGGAAAACTGTTTGTGATTCCTCAAACAATTAAAATAGAATAATCGTTTGATCCAGGGAGTACACTCCTAAGTATATACATAAGAAAAACGAAAACATATGTCCATGTGGAAACCCGTGTGTGAATGTTCAGACCAGCACTACTCATGACGGTAGAAACAACCCAAATATCTGTCTATGAGTGAACAGATAAAAAACACAAAGTATAAACATACCATGGAACAGCACTCAGAATGAAGTTCTGATACACGCTATGACATGGATAAACCTTGAAAAAATTATCCCACGGGAAGGACACAAGAGTTTTTTCCCCTTACAAGAAATATTTACAATGGGCAAAATCAAGGGCACAGAAAGCATGTGAAGGTTACCAGGGGTTCGGGGGGGAGCAGAGGAGGGGGAGGGGGAGTAAGTGTACATGTGATTTTTGAGACATCCAATTCCTCTCCATCATGGCCATGCCACCTGCAGCCCTGCAGGATCCCGTGAGAGTGCTTCTCAGGGCTCGCCAACGGGGCACGCTGCGAAACTTTAGGATCTCTGTCATTCTGACTGCTGAAATAGTACCTCAATGCAGTTTTAATTTCTATTTTTTTCTTGCAATATAATGCTTTTAAAAAATCCTCTCTAATTATGTTTTAACCTGCTGGTATTGGTTACATACTTACCACGAGACTCCCCTTAGAAAAATACACCAAGATGAAAGGTTTATAAAATAAAGAGGAACAGCTATTGAGAACTACACAGATTAGTACATTTTACAAACACATCAATGTCATGGTTACTGTTGCAAATTCCAAACCTAAAAATAAAATATAAAATTTGCCTTGCATACGGGTGAGCAGACACTTAACGACTAGAACCTTCCACATGCCCATGCTAGGCAATGCTTAACGACAGAAAAGTCTGAGTAACATTTCTGTTAATTTCAGCAATTAGATGAAAAATATTTTCACCAATTGTTAAGAGCCCTTTCACCATGATTAGAATTTTTTTAGTTGATTATTTTTAGCGGTAAGATTGCCAGTGGCATGTTACTTCTCCTTTGGGATTTTATTGTATAATCTGGTGTGAGAGCTAAAAATGAAGAAAAAGATAATTTGCGAAAAGAACGTAACATCGTACAAGTCTCACCTTTCCATTTAGCAACCAGCTTAGGATCTGAGATTGTGAAGTTTGGTCTGCTTCTGGACAGGATGCCTTTTCCAAAATAACCCTTCGGGGAAGAGAAGAAAGAGAGTTAGCTCATGTTGAGTTATTCATTTTTTAGCTGAAGGAGACCTATTTGAGTTAAGAAGAGAGTCACTGCATTGTTCACAGCTTGATATCTTCCCTTTGATTACGTAACGATTACTAGGAAGATGGATCATAGCATTTTTTTTCTCCGACTGTGTGAAGGGAGCCAGGAAGTTTCCTGCGCACCTCATGTGTCTCAGGAGTAATGCTTTCAGTCCAGCCCGGGGAGCTGAAGGTGAGGGGCAGACGGAGGCAGGGTGTCCTCCGCTCACGTGGGCCAGGAGCGTGTCCACCAGACACAAAACCTCCTCGGGTTCCCGTGCGCCCAGACTGGTACTCCTCCTCTCCTTCCCGCTGCCCCCAAAACTCTGGCTCCCTCTCTACCATTTCTTAAAACCAGAAAATAGTTAAACCCACAGACAACTGAAAGAATAATAAAATGAACACCTTATACCCTCCACCCAGATTGAACGGTCAGAATAAATCAGCGGTGTAGCGCTTCGCAAAGCCTCTGCTAAATGTTATGCGTTGCGGCGGTCGGGGAGCCTGCCCTTGGCCTGGACCTCTGACCCACCAGGGTCAATGCCATCCACGTATCCCTCTCTGGGAGGCTGGCTGCGACTTGGATTTTATATAAAATGACTCGAGTGAGTCACACTCACAGAGCAGGAAGGGGATCAGGAGCGCCTGGGCTGGGAGTGGGGCAGGGATTAAGGACACGGGGCACCGGGGAAGCTCCTGTGCCCGTGGGGAGGCTCCACAACAGGACCGTGGTGTGGCTGCACAGGTCTCTGAGTTTGTACTTGGAAGGGCGAATTTTACGGCTTCTTACCTCCATAACGCTGTCTTAAAAGTGCCTCCAGCGTTGAACTGGCTATGGGGCAGAAGATAAGGAAGCTTCCCATCTCAACCCACACCTATCAGTGATGGCAAAAGCCAAAACTGGAACTCATCAGAGGAGAGGTCCTCCACCAGGAGGGCAGGCAGGTAAGGAGCCGGAGGACAAGCGGAGGCCTCATCTGGGTTCCCCTGCCGCACAACGGTCTGCGGCTCCACGGTCACCCCCGGGGATGGAAGCGGGTGAGGGCCACACTTTACTCCTTACCCAGGACGTTTCTGTAAACTGCTTGAAATTTTTTTTTTTTTAAACAATGAACACATGTTGCTTTTACAATCAAGAAGCAACACAGGTCAGCGCACTGACCCCAATCCACTGCTGCAACGCGCGTCCGTGGGTGGGGGTTATGGTCCTCGGGGCACCTGATTCGGCTCCCACGCCGGACCAGACCTCGAGGAGCGTGTGTGGGTCACTGGCGGTCTGCTTCTGGGGGTGGCGGGGGGAGCACGGCCGGGCCGCCCGCACCTACCTTCCCGTAGAGCTGCTCCATGTCTTCCAGGCCCCTCACAACCACGTGGCTGTTTATCATCTCAGCCTGGAAGATGCGGAAGCCCTTCTCAGAACCGCGGTCCTGACCGCAAGGGACGGGCAGGGGAGACTCGTAGCTCTCGTGCACCCTCCTCTTCCTCTTTGGGGGGCGGAACACCGCCTCCGCCATCTTCCGAAGCGGCTGCTCCTTCAGGACCGTGAGAGGCAGAAAGCAGCAGGTCAATCGGTTACCACGCCGACCAGACAGGCAAGTGCCTGTATACCCAGGCTCAGAAAAACCTCGTGGCCTGTGAGAAACACAAACTATTCAAGAGAGACGAAAAGAAGACGGTTCTGGTTGGAGCAGTGCAAACCCCACTCCCCGAGGGGACCCCGATGAATTCCCACCCCAGTGCCCCAGGAGTCGTGGTTCGATTTCTGATCGCGGCTTGTGCCTCTGAGCCTAGAGACAGGCCCCTGGGCAGCACGCTGCTCAAAGGCCTCCTGTCGGCGGGCACAAGAGGGCTTCTGCCCTCGAGGAGTCCTCCTGCCCGCTCACTCGGCCAGCAGACAATTACCAAGCACCCACCAGAGGCTCCTAATCACCAGGGGTGCTGGGGACAGACAGAGAAAACCAAAAGGACCCCGTCCTCAAAGAAGTACAGGTAGTGAGCACTTGGTATTCCAAAACGGGATCATCGCCCAGTTTTCCTAGTAAATTATTAATGATGACAATGACTTTAAATGATCATCATTGAAGGCACCAAGCGTGAGTGCCTAAGAGCAGGAAGCGTCAGGCCAGTGTGTGGGGACTGGAATCGGCTCCCCGCTGCCTAGCCATGTGATGGGACAAACTTAGTATCTCCAAGCTTTCGTCTTCTCCTCCGCAAAATAAGGCGAAAAACAGACTCCATCTTATAGTGAAGACCCAGAAGGTGCCCAGAAGCCTCCAGCACGTGGCACCATGCGCTCTGCGTGTCCACTATGGTTGTTATTACGGGCTGAGCGCTACCAACACCGCGGATGGATGAGAAAGCAGGGCCAGGTTAGAGAAAAGGTGCCAGAGGCCCGGAGGGGAAGGGCTCTGCTCCTTCCTCCAGGTCCTGCTGGGAGCACGGGCGGCAGCCGTCCCCCTCGTTTGAAGGCTCACTGCTTCTCCAGGTTAGGGGCTGAGGGTCATGGAGAATCCTGGAATTACTTGACACCCAGCACTACCAGAGTCCCTTGAACACAAGGAGCTCAAACCAGTCCATCCTAGAGGAAATCGACCCTGAATATTCAGGGGAAGGACTGATGCTGAAGCTCCAATACTTTGGCCACCTGATGAGAAGAGCCGACTCATTGGAATAGACCCTGAGGCTGGGAGAGACTGAAGGCGACAGAAGGGGCGATGGTTAGACAGCGTCACCATGACTCGATGGACGTGAGTCTGAGCAAACTCTCAGAGGCGGTGAAGGGCGAGGGAGGCGGGCGTGCTGCAGCTCAGGCAGCTGCAAAGAGTCGGACACGACTGAGCGGCTAAAGAACGGCAGCTCTCTGAGGGAGGAAAGGAAGGAGAGGCCGAGGAGACAAAACAAGGACAACACACACACAGGCTGCGGTTCAGTAACGGCTGGAGGAAGGAAGTCAAATCTGGTGCGCTGCTGTGATAAAGACAGAGGGCCACAGCAGAGGTATCAGCTCAGGAAACTCACCCACGAGCAAGGGGGGAAACGCGGGGAGTGGAGGAGACAGGGCCCGGCGCCCCACGCGCTGGAATGAGACGGGCACCCGATCCTGCTCCGCCCCCAGCCCCGGCTCTGGGCCGGACTGAGGCTGCCAGCACACGCGGTGCCTGAAGACCCAGGGGCGCTCTACCACCCACGTGTTTAGCCTCCCAGCTCCAAACGCTCGCCGGAAAAAGCACCGCTGACTGCTTGGCTGTGCCGTGCACTCGGTACCAGCACCTGCTGGACACGGGATGCCCAAAGCCTGAAACAGTGAAACAGCCGGGGAAGGCCGTGAAAGCTGGGGCAGGAAGCAGAGGGGCTCCCGGGGTTTAGGCCCATTAAAAAGAAACCCAGGGACTTCCCTGGTGGTCCAGAGGCTTAAGACCCTGCGCTTCCAGTGCTGGGGGCCTGGGTTCGATCCCTGATGAGGGAGCTAGATCCCACACGCCACAACTAAGAGAGTTCGCAGGGCACAGTTAAGAACCCACTGCCAGCCCTAAGACAGGGCACTGCCAAATATTTAAAAACAAATATTAAAGAAGAGCGCATGTGTGGCTACAGACTCATCAGCAACGTGTGTGCTCAGACTTTTCATTTTTGCTAATGAGACAGCAGAGAAATAGTATCTGGTGTAGTTGTAATTTACCCTTTTAAAAATATTTCCATTTTCTTTTCTGTATGGTTTTTGATCTCTCATGTGGTTGAGGTCATGCTGTGGATACGAGGGGAAACAGACATACCGCTCCTTTAACGAGCCCACAGGCCAGATGGGGAGACAGACACACAAACAAATCTTTCCTGGCAGGACAGCGGGCACCACGTACAGACAGGACGAGAGGGCGAGCCCCCGCCCAGCAGACCCTCTCCTCCCAGAGATGCACTGACTCTTCCACAGGCCGGGAGCCTGTATGCTGCTGCTAAAAAAAAAAAGATCCCAAGTGTCGCAACTAAGACCCACCACAGCCAAATAAACAAATATTAGGGAAAAGAAAGAAATCAAAAGCGTTGTCCAACATGTAAGGATTCCTATAGCCACCCTACAAAAGATGTGAAGGAATTAAATGACAACAAAGAAAAACAGAAACCACAGAAGTTAGAGACATTGATAACCAGTTACAATAGTAACTATAAAAAGAATCAGCAAGTTGGAAGATTGCTTCTTAAGATTGCCATAAAGTATTCCAAACAGCAAAATACTAAGATAATTTCTAAATGAGTCCTTCAATAAACGTAAATACTGAGCATGACTGCATACACTTCATAAACAAATATATGTGTGTATATATGCACACATCTTGCCATATAGTGTTCAGAACAAAACTATGTATATCACATGTTAATGGGCAATTAAGAGATTCCCTCTCAAGGGCATTTTAAGTAGTTTCACTTGCTAATTTGTCACTCAACCCAAGCAACTGCAGTGGATTCCGAACCACATGGGGTTTACCTGCATGGGTACACGTACACCCAGACTTTTTTCAATAGTAAATGCTACAATGATACACCATCCATGGTTGGTTGAGTCCACAGATGCATAACCTTAGATATAAAGGAACCAGGGATATGCAGGCGGACTGAAAATTACACTCGGAGTTTTGACGATAACAGAGGGTCAGCACCCTGACCTTCTATATTATTCAAGCACCAAGTGCATTTAGCATGCAATTGAAGAAACGGCAACTTGTTCTAAAACTTAAAATAATGTGTTGACTTTGAGGCAGGATGCTGGTTTCTAGTTAGGATTTCCAGGAATAATTTGTGGACTTTTACAAGCAGTTCACTTTTATAACTTAACTGCTGGTTGGTATTTGATTTGTATATATTAAAAGATTTTTAAAAACAGAAAATGTTCAATGACTAACTTCAAGCACTTTCAATTAAATTCTCTCAAACCAGTGAGAGAGAAAAGTTCTGTTTTAATTTGCCTAGTTTGTTTAAGATTCTCCCTTTCAGACTGCTGTTATACTCTTTAAGAAAGCTTAGAATGAGCTCTGACACTTGATGGCAAGAACTCTGTACTTCAACCCAAGTTGGCATCATAGAAGGTTCCTCTCACAAGACTCCGTGCTTTTCATGAGACCTCAAAATTCGGAGGTCTGGTGTCACCTCTGTGCATGTGACCACATGGATATCAAGGAGGATGTGCCTCTTAGTAGGTCATCCATACGTGCAGAGGTACCATTGTGACCGTGTGATTTTAACAACTCACGTATGGTCCCTGAACTCAATTTCATCTTCAAATTGATCAGGACTAGAAAACTGAGTGGAAGCCACTCACTCACAGGTTAAACAACTAAGACCCGGTGCAGCCAGACAAGTAAATAAATAAATAATAAAAAGATTTTTAAAAACATGCTGCATCCATATAGGCTTCCCTGGTTGGTAAAGAATCTGCCTGCCAACGCAGGAGACTCGGTTCGATCCCTCGGTTGGGAAGATCCCCTGGAGAAGGAAATGGCAACCCACTTCAGTATTTTTGCCTGGGAAATCCCATGCACAGAGGAGCTTGGCAGACTACAGTCCATGGGGTCGCCAAAGTGTCAGACAGGACTTAGCAACTAAAGAACAACATATCCACGTATTGGAATATTACCAGCAATTAACAGGAATGAAGGTTAAGAGGGAATTCTCTGACTTTGCAGCAGGCTTTAATACTCTGTGCTTTCACTGCTAAGGTTCAATCCTTGGTTGAGGAACTAACTTCCTACAAGCCATAACGCATGGCCAAAAAAAAAAAGTTTAAAAGACTAAGAAAATTGACCTGGGGTCATATATAACAGTGGCTCTCAAGCCTGGCTGCTCTTAGAATCACCTGGGGAAGTTTTGAAACTCCCAAGGCCCAGGCCGAACCTACAATTACATCAGAAGGTCAGAGATGGGATCCAGGTGATTTCAATATGTAGTCCACCTTTCCAACCACTAGAGATAGGATGGCCTATTCAAACTCAATGCCAACAGCCATCCCACTGTGGAGAGGAGGAGGGACTGGGGGCAGGCGGGGGGTGCTACACACCTGTAAGGGGCTGTTCCTTTTGCTTTTCCAAACCTGGCTATACTGACTCCAGGCACCGGTAGTGTTAACTACATAAGACATTTAGTTTTCTATCAGAAGCACGGCTTGTTCCTAATTCTTCCCCTGAGCACACAAGCTAACACCTTTTAGGTGTTCAGTAGATGTTTATTCCAAACAGAACAAAGGAAGACAAAAAGGGAGGGGGGGAGGTACCATTATTTAATTTTCCAGCCCCCTGGGCCCACCTTGCCAAACCAGATGGTTAAAGCCTCCCACTCAGCCGAACTCACATTCTCCCAATTAAAACAAAAACAAAAACAAAAAAACACGCTTGAGGCTCCAAGTGCGTACCTTGTAGGCTAGGGGAGGCAAGGATGAAAAGGAAAAGACAAACAATCTTGCCTCTGGGGAGCTTTCAGGTTAGAACCCGAGACTAAGGCACACAAACAGAAGTTAAACCTTTGAAGACTGATGGGTGATTGTGCGAGCGAGCCTGGTACTGGGCCTACCATGTGATGCGCGAGCCAGAGGAAAAGCTGCAGCTGCAACTAATGAGCAAAAAAAAAAAGTCAAGGGCTCAACAGACTCTCCCAACTCCGTGTCATAACCTGTCCTTTTGCCGGTCTCCTACAGCGGCGCTCAGCAACCCTACTAGCGACTAAAGAAGGCTCCTCTGGGGCACAGTCTGTTATCAGATGCACCTCGCCTTAGTCTGCCCGCGGCACTCTGCCGCGTGGCGTCAGTGTTTCCAGAAAAAGCCTAGAAGAGAGAGGCTTTGCAGGAACACAGAGGAGGGGAAAGGGGGCTAATATTCCGGCAGAACTAGGAAGCCGGGCCCTGCGTCCCGCCCCAGTTCCGCGTGGCTGTGCGCCCGGAGGAACGTCCCGGGGCCGCTTCTACTTTCGCCCCGGAGAGCTTTCAGAAAAGGAGACGTCTCTTCCCGCGGACGAACCCCAGAGGGCCGCGGTCACCACGCTCGGCGCCTCGAGTCGCCACCCGCTCCCGGGGACCCAGGGTACCTTACCTTCCTCCGCCCCCAGCGCGCGCGCGGTGTTACCCCGGCAACGGCGGCCGGGGTCGGGCGGGGGGGGCGGACACAGCTGCCGTCAAGCAGCGCGGCCGCAAAGCCGGGCGACTGCGCAGCCGCGGAGTCCGCGGGCGGGCCCGCCGGGTCTTTGCGCAGCGCGCTTGCGCGGGGCCTGCAGGCAGGTCTCAGTGGGGTGTGCCCCCGGTGTGAGTCGCAGGCGGCGCGTCCTCTTTCCTGCGCTTCCCGCGATTGTACCGCTAGCCCCTCTGCACAGGTGCTGTTCTCGTTTAATCCCTACAGCAGTCGCACAAGATCCGTTTCACAGATGAGCTCTAAGTTACTTAGCCAGTGTCACGTAGCTGGGAGGTATTGGATTGACAGTGGTAGCACTAGACACGAAGCCAGGTCTTGAGGAGCTGTGGTCCTCGGCCCTGGGGAGATGGGACGCTTGAAGCCACTGCACTTGACATGACCCAAGCCCTGAGGAAGCGGGTCGGCTGAGCTCAGCCCGCAGACCG